TATGTAACCAACGCTTTTCTGACATCTTTTATCTTATCCTTCTCCCCTTCATTTCCTAAAATTCCTCCTAAACTCCAAGCTCTCCCTTTCTCTTTGACTTTTCTTTTCAGTCTCTCCCTTTCTTCCATATATTTAATGCATTCCATCAATACATGTTCCACACTTTCTGTTTCCCCACATTCCTCGCATCTATTGTCATTCCTTTTACCCATTATGAACATTGTGTCATTAAGTAATGTGTGTCCCACCCTCAATCTCATAAGTATCACCTCCTCTCTTCTACTTCTTTCTCTAAACATTGTTATTTTAACTGATTTTTGGATCCTGAATAATTTTCTTCCTTTCTTGTCCTCATTCCATCTCTTTTGCCATTTATTTAGTTCTTGTCTTTTAATAATTGATTTACCCTCTCCTTTCCCTAATGGAATATTAGCTGTTATTTCTCTCTTCAACGCTGCCTTGGCAAGATCATCCGCCCTTTCATTCCCTTCCACCCCTTCATGTGCTGGCACCCAACAAAAATGCACATCTATTCCTCCTCTGTGCAACCTAAATAATGCATGTTGAATTTCTAAAATGAGGTCTTTCCTATTGTTTCCGTTTGACTTTATACTTTCTATTACCGCTTTTGAATCTGTGAATATTGCCACTCTATCTGGTCTAACCTCCTCAATCCATTCCAAACTAAAAATAACTGCCACCATCTCAGCCGTGAACACTGACAGGTGATCTGAAATTCTTTTGATAATACATACTTCAAATTCTGGTATGAAGACTCCTATTCCCACCCTTCCCTGATCGTTTTTTGATCCATCTGTATAGATTTCTAAGTAATTGTAATATGTTTCTTTAATATATCTGCTAGGTTTCACCCCTATTTCATTACCTTTCCATTCTTTTTTCCATTCTAGTAATTTTTTGTCCACTTTACTTTCAGGGATTAGCCAGGGTGATATAACACTTTTTGGATTACTCCTAGCAAATTCTATATTTTCTATCCCATACATTTCTGCTAATTTATTTATTTTCCGTCCAAATCCTCTTCGTTCTGTATTGTCATAGCTGCTGGATTTCCTTCTTTGTTTCCTTTAAGTTTGATCCAGTATGATAGTGACAGTTTTATTCTTCTCATTTCTAATGGCGTTTCCCCAGTTTCTACAAGAATTGCGTTTATGGGTGTCGTTTTAATCGCTCCCGTGCACACCCGTAGTGCTCTGGATTGTAGTCTATCTAATTTTTGAAGTTTAGATTTTGTTGCTGCTCCATAAACTATACATCCATAGTCCAGAGTCGATGAGCCAATTGTTAAATGGGTACATCAAAACCAGGTTAAACCACACAAGGTGCGCAAAGAAACAACTCCTACGGGACAGCGTGATTGAATCTGACAACCAGGGTGAGTGACGCACCGAAACGTCGTTTTCTAGTTGCTTAATCACTACTTTTGTCAATGTTGAAACGTTGTTTTACTGGTTGCTTAGTCACTGTTTTTGTCGATGTTGAGACATCGTTTAATTGGTTTTTGGTATTGTTTCTGAACACCCCAAGCAAGAATAAATTTTGTGTGTAGTTAAGTTAGAGACTAAGAGGCCTTTAACTATGCCAACATGCAGTTCATTTGTTAAAACCTAATCGTTGAAGAGTCAATGTAGTCAATGCTACCTTAAGTACCATAACTTACATTGGTCTCACCATCTTCAAGCCGAACCTACTCAAACAATTCTATTCACTGATAACAGTTTATCTGTTTTAAATTGTGCTCTACAAATAAAGATGACTTGACTTGACTTGACTATTCAGGGG